CCCTAATGCAGCTCTCTCCCTTTACTGTACTTAATTTCCCGTATCTTTTTATGGGAACCTGCAGATGTTTTTTGCCTCTTGCCCCGGACCCCCCACGGCCACCGCGGTGAGGGGCAGGGCTGCGCCTAACGTGTTCACGGCTCCGTTCACCGTGCCCGCAGGCAGCGCCCAGCGTGCCCGGCACGAAGGAATGAATGAAAGGCCCTGGGCGTGTGTGGCGTCAGGGGGGATAACTACCAGGCGACGGCCCCCCTTTCGCAGGGTGGGACAGCGCCCCTCCGCGGACGGAGGAAGAAGTCGGTTTGTTTCGGGGGCTTGGGAGACAGGACCGAGAATTGGTGGGCTAAACGCTGGAGGCCACGACGCGCCACGGACAGCGCAAGCGCAGTGTAGCGAGCAGCACGCACCCCGCAATCCCGGCACGCGGCGCGGCGGCTCGACCCCTCCCCCACCCGCCACCGCCGCCCGCGCTTCGCAACAAAGGCCGGCTGCAGAGCGGCGGGGCCCCACCCTGCCACGAAGGGTGGCAACGACCTCTTCCCCTACCGACCTCCGTCGCCCGCTGCCGGAGAGCAGAGACCTCTGAGGACCGTCCGCGGTTCGGGCCTTTCTCGGAGACACCCCGCGAACGCACCACAACTTGCACCGAGGCGACGGCGAAATGGCTCCTGCGGCGACGACGGAGGGGCGGGGTCAGTGCGCGTACGCAGGCGCAGAAAGCGAGCTTGGCGCCAAGGACGCCCCGCGGGAGGGGCGGAGCCTGAGCATCCGGTCGCCTGGGAGATCCGCGCGCCTCGCGGGTCGCTTCCGGAACTGCGCAGACCCCTTTTGAACGTTTTGGGGAGTTGGGATCATGTACCATTTTGATGTAGCAAGATGTTTGGCAGTTTTTGTTATAGGGATCACTAGTAGACGAGGTGCCCTTCGAGACCGAACTGGAAATCATAGGTGCTAACTTTATAGGGTTCTTGTGATGATTAATTGAGATGGCATGTGAAAGGTGCTTAGCTCAGTACTTGGCAGGTAATAAATTGGTGTTCAATAAATGTTGTTATTGTAGCGGTTTAGATACTGTAACGCGAACGTCTTCCGAAAAAGAAGTGAGCTAGTGAAGGCAGGAACCCTGCCTGGCCATTCACCACCGTGCTGGACACGTTGCTAAGAGCTTAGTGAAAACTAGTTTGAGTAGGTACATCCTTCAGGGCTGTTTGGGCTTACGTTGGAGATCCTTTGTCTTAGGAATTTTTGGCATAGTTTGTATCCTGAACTACTGTAGTAGTCACTGTTAAATTTTGAGCTCAAGTTCTTCCCATGAAAGCAACAATACAAAATATTTCAAGTTGGAGTTGTTCCAGAGAATCCAGACTAATCAGTAGCTGGGCCCACTATACCTATACATCCTTATGTTTTCACCTCTTTCATTACTTCTTTTCCTAATTCTACTAGCTCATAGTGATCAATCCCTTTAAAACTATGTGGCTCTTAAAATTGGAATAACAGTTTAGCATTTGTTTATTCTTTTACTTTTTGCCATGTATTTGCTCTCCACTACATCAGTTTGTACTTGGGCCTAAATCTCAGGAATAACACTGTCTTAGAGGTGTTGTTAAAAGTGGCCGTATGAGCCCTGCTGATGTGGCTCAGTTGGTTGAGAGCACATGCCGGGGTTGCAGGCTTGATCCCCAGTAGGAGGTATACAGGAGGTAGCTGATTGATTTTCTCTCTCTCTCCCTTTCTATCTCTCTAAAATAAATAAAAACATTTTTTTTACAAGTGGACACATGAATTTAGGATTCTTGGTGTGAAATACAATCTGTTGTCACTCTGTTAAGATTCATATTCTGGCTCTGCCACAACCATGGGTGACCTTAAGATATTTAATCCTATTTGCCACAGTTACTTCATTTTGGAAATGAGAAGATGCTATATTGTATCACTTCTAAAAAACACTTAAAAATTTTTTTTGAAATCTCTGTCAAACTTTGTCAGAAGTATATAAAATAATGTCTTACCATCAATAGCATCTGAGATTCAATGAAATATTACCTACATCATAAAGTAATTATGCCCAGCCGGTGTGGCTCAGTGGTTGAGCGTCAACCCATGCACCAAGAGGTTGCCAGTTTGATTCCTGGTCAGGGCACATGCCCAGGTTGTGGGCCTGATCCCCAGGTGGGGGCATTTAGGTGGCAGCCAATCGATATTCTCTCTCATCGATGTTTCTCTCTCTCTCTCCCTTTCTCTTCCTCTCACTAAAATCAATAAAGGAAAAAAAATAATTATAAAGAATAATATGTAAATTTAAGTACCTGGCATATACATAGTAAAAACATTTTTTCTAATTAAAAAAAACCTACAGCATCTGAAAATTACCCTGTCTTATTGTACTCATGCATGGTTCGAAAGGCTGAGGTCCTATCACGAGCAAGAATGGCAAGAGGTATGCAGATCAGTATGTCCTGGAGCACAAAATGATGTGCTACTCTTTAGAGATAAAATGTACCAACACAGAACACCCCAGTAAGAATGCACATTTCACCCACTAGGCATAATTTTGTTAACAAAACACAAAGTTGATCAGAGGTAGAGTTTGGATGGTTCTTTTAAGATTTAATTTTGAATGTGTTACTCTAGTAACCCATGGCTCAAAAGCCAGAGAAGCTTTGATTTAATATTAAGTTCAAACTGAATACTCTAGACCAGTGGTTCTCAATCTTCCTAATGCTGTGACCCTTTAATACAGTTCCTCATATTGTGGTGACCCCCAACCATAAAATTATTTTGTTGCTACTTCAAAACTGTAATTTTGCTACTGTTATGTCTTATGCGTCCCCTGTGAAAGGGTCGTTTGACCCCCAAAGAGTCGCGACCCACAGGTTGAGAACCGCTGCTCTAGACCCAGAGAAAAATGCTGTTGAGTGGAATTGTGGGCACCTGCTAACAGAGCAAACAATTGGAGAAAATAAGAACAGACCTGAAATGTGCTGGATACAGCAAGTACAATACATTAAAACAGGAGAAAAGTTAAATCATTTTTACAAGTGGAATTGATAGTGATACTGGTAATGGCTTAATATTTAACACTGATGACTTTTAGTGCGATGAATGTCACAGATTAAATATATAATCTGGATTCCAGCAGAAATGATTGTCTAGACTTTGAGGATGAAGAATAAACATATCTGATACCTTTAAAATTATTGGTATTCATTGAAATGCCAATTTCTTTTAGAATTCCTTTTTCAAGGCTTGCTGTGCTTATGTTATTATTTTGCCAGCTATTGAAAGGGTTAGCAGTGATGTAATGTTTTTCACAGTTGGATAAAGAACATATACTAAATTTCTCGGATAGCTACAAAAACCAGTAATAACTAACACTTCACTGTGCTTATGATATGTCAGGCACTGCTGTATCCGTTTTTTTAAATAAGCAAGCATAACATTGGAGGTCATTCACATGTATTTTTCTGTATCCACTGTATCAGTTTCTATTGAAACATTTATCTACAAGCCCTGGAGCTTGAAAGAAAATACGGAGATGCCCTAAATACACCTATCACTAAAAAAATACAAAAAAAAAAAAAAGCTGACTACAGTAAAACATATTGCAGTGCTGCCAAGAAAGAAAGAAACTGCCTTCAAGGTAAACAAAAATGAGTGAAGAAATGAATTCAAAGAGGCAAGGGAACCCTGATTTAAGGACCTACCTTAAGAGCATCTCTGCTGATCACTAAGGAGCTTGAGCTGCCTTGTCCTGAAAGCTGCTTGGGGCCAGGAGAAAGGAGACCGAGCCTAGAGGATGCCCAAAGTGAATAGACCCATCCAGAAAGCCAGAAGGACTTACAATAGCCACAATAAAACAAAAACTAAATGAAAAACGAGTATAACAATAACAATAAAACAAACCTAGAAGAGGAGCATATGAAGGAACCTTGTCTGTTACAAACTAGATGGTGAGTAGAGGGAAAAGGAAAAAAAAGACATTAATATTGTGTTGAATAAAATATTTCATGTCATGCCCTGGCTGGTTTGGCTCAGCAGTTAGAGCATCAGCCCACGGACCAATGAGTCGTGGGTTTGATTCCAGCCAAGGGCACGTACCTCGGTTGTGATTCATCCCCGGCCCTGGTTGGGGGTCATGTGGGAGGCAGCCACTCGATGTGTCCCTTTCACATCAATGTTTCTCTCTCTCTTCCTCTCTCTCCCTCCCACTCTATCGAAACAAAACTGGAAAAATGTCCTCAGGTGAGGATAAAAAAATGTATATATATTTCATGTCATGACTTTAGTTTTAACATTAAAAACTAAATTCAGCCCTAGCTGGTTTTGCTCAGCAGAGCACCGGCCTGCAAAGAGAACAAAAAATGGAAAAATGTCCTCAGGTGAGGATACAAAAAAACAACAACAACAAACTAAATTCAAAGATGACAGTTTATAATATTCAAAATTTTATGTTACCTACTGCTTGCTGTATGATACTCATTCATTTCTATGGAGTTGGATGTTAAAATATAGAGCTAAACGCAGCCCTGTTCATTTTATTTTAATCATTATATTGCTCTCTGTGTTCATCAGATCTCACTATCTTAAAAATTCTCCAAGCACTGACTTCAGAAAATTAGTATATAATTAACATGTAATATAGAATTAATAAATCACTGAAGAAAAGTGACTGCTTGACAGTGTGACTGGGAAATAAGAGCAGTCCCTGGGCTCACTGCAGAAGAGACAGTGGCCTTAACTTCCAATAATTCAGGTTGCAAAATAAAAAATAAAATAAACAAAAAATAATAATAATTCAGGTTGCTGTGGGAGAGACACTTCCTTCTCAGTGGGGTTAAGGGGAAGTCTGTGGTGCCCAGAGCAGAACTCTAGGATTCTCTTAAACTTTGAGCTTTATTTTGTTCCCATATAGCAACAAGTGGAGACTTGAATTCTTTTTGGAAGGCCTTTCCTTTGTTATATGCAAGCCACCCTAATGGGTCTTTTAGTTGTAGGAACTGAAACAAGTCTTCACCTAACCCAGTGTTTTGGGGAAAACCTGTGACATCACAATTGATCTGAAAGCAGGTGTTCTCGAGTTAGACTGAACAGCCAAGCCAGCGGGTGTGTTCTTGGTTGTGTATAGTTCAGTCATGCTGTAATTTGGCACTCAAGTTAGCACACCTGCCTACATGCCATAGCTCAGAGTTTTCTTAGATTCCAAATGAATATTTATTGAAATGAAAGTACATTATTGAGGTTTAACATGAGAAAACTTTAAAATAGGATTAAGCACCAGAAATCAAGATAATGGGAGCTCCCAAAGGCAGATGAAATTAAATACAATTTTCCTCTTGATTCCATTTCATCTATAAGCAGAAATTTCCCCACAAAAGACTTGTACAATATTGAATGAGTCAGGGCTCATGACTCCTTTTGGAGCTGTTGCCCCTTCACAAAATAAAACTTTCTAAAGATCGCAGTAGGTACTTAAATACTTGTTGATTGATGTGAAATTTCATTTGCTAGGAAAGAATTTAGTTCAAGCTCATCTATGAAGTCCTTGAGAAATGAATGCACTATTCAAGGTCGATTATAGCTCAGTGTATACACCCTCACTTGATAGAAAGGCATTAGCTACAGGCTTCTAAGTTCACATTCTTTAAATCAGCAATAGAAAGGAAACCCAGACTCTTCAGTTTAGCCTCCACATTATCAGTAAACTCCTTGGAGGCTCTCTGCAGTGGGAGCCGGGGTGGGCCCATTGGAATCCCAGACACCAGAGTCATGATGGCTTTGGTCTGTGACACTCCAAAACCTATACAGAAAAAAACAAATGAAGAAACATTACTGGACTGTCCATATCACTGTTACAGTGTGATATTAAGCTAGGGAAATTCCAGGGCAGGAGGAATAGGGAAACTGAGACAGGAAAGTTAAATCAAGGCCAAAGAGTGTGGGCAATTTGCAGCTGGCCTGCACACTGCAAGCCATTCTCTTCCCCAGCAGAGGACACTTGAGAGCAAACGGATAAAAGCCTCCCTGATGAGAGAATGCAGGAAAGGGGGAGAGAAGGGAAGAGTATTTCTCAACCACTAAACAAAGAAATCAGCCATTTTGGGGAAGGGGAAAGGGAAAAAAGGGCAGCTTTATTTTTTACTCCCTAAGCAGAAAAGCCAGCAGTCTCAAGCCTTGGCAGGATAAAATTGCCAGGTGCTTCTCATGGATTCTGGGAAGGCCACAACAAAGTAAAAAGGGACCTGGAGAATTAATCTGTACCAAAATATTCAGCAGAGGAATTCTGAAACCGATAGATAGGAGGGTATATAAAGCCTCAGACCCCCATCCAACTTGCTCTTCAGATTAGCTGAGCGCCCATCTACACTTCATAAGCCAAATGTATAGATTTACTTTGCTTGGTTCTTGAATAAAATTTGCTTGCTTTATTGCTTTAATAAATTGGTTTAATCACAACTCAGTCTTCTGGAGTTTTCTTGTATACATTTGTTTTTATGAGAAGACAATGATCAAGGTTGGGGCTAGTCCTCTTCCCTGACTCAGGGGGCTGTCCTATACTACCTCTCTGGTGTTTGTGAGAGGTGCCTCTTTCATCACCACAAACATCCCAAAGAAGGTGGACCAGAAGAGGGGTACATTTCTAGTCAATATGGCAGACTGAAAAGACATAGGGAATCCCTCTTCCTGACTCAAATACATAGAAATGCCGGAAAACATGTTTTGAACAAATTGACAAGCTGTAAAAACAAAACAAAATCAGACTCAAAAGTTAACCTCAAAAGCAAGAAAGAGGCACCAAAGTTATCGGGAATAAAGTGGTCAGAATAGTGAGGAGCTGAAGCCAAATGGTCCATGAGAATAATCTGATTCAGGGGTATGGTGTTGTTGATCTAATAATATAGGACCTCATCGCTAGGACAGAATTTAGTTCAGGCGTATCTAAGAAGTCCCTGAGAAACACTCTACATTAAAGGTAGCTTATGACTCAGTGCTGCTGTTCTGGGGCGGGTGTTATAAAGCTAGGGCAGGAATGCAAGAGGAAACCTTGGGTCTGTGCATAGCAAGGTAGACTCTAACTCCCCATGTAAAATTGGTAACCAGCCTGCTATGAAAAGCAAGAGAAAAAACCTGGCCCAGTGCCTTAGGGCTAGAGGCACAGTGCTTGACTTCTGCCAGGGTTGTGGATGGGAAAGAGATCACATGAAAGAAACCCCAAGCTGTACCATATATAAATGACAGGTCCACATTTGCATTTTGCACTCGGTGTAGAAACCAGACTAAGAAAATGAGCTAAAGACTGGTTAGAACTGATGAAACTATGTTTCTCAGCAGAGGAAAAATAAAACCACCTCACAACCTAGAGCACAGTGGGTTCCCCGGAAAACAACAGTCTCTGAAGATGAATTCGGAGTTAAAAACGACGGAGCATTTGAGGGAAAAGAAGCTGCATGGACGCCAGCAAACACGCAACTAGCAAATTTGACATCCTGCGAACTGATGCCAAAGTCTGAGACAAACCTCACAGAGGCAAAAGGAAGAAGTAGCCATGGGCTAAGACAGGGGCATACACATAAAGAACAGGAACACTTGGGGGAAAAAACAAACAAACAAACAAAAAACAAAAGAGACTGGCCAGTGTGGCTCAGTGGTTGAGCGTCAACCCATGCACCAAGAAGTCACTGGTTCGATTCCTGGTCAGGACACATGCCCAGGTTGTGGGCCTGATCTCCAGTGGGGGGCATGCAGGAGGCGGCCAATCGATGTTCTCTCTCCTTGATGTTTCTGTCTCTCCCTCTCCCTCCCCCTCTCTCTAAAAATCAATAAAGGGGAAAAACAAAGCAAAACAACAGCCAAAGAGAAATACTGGAAATGAGAAACATATAAACAGTGAATCTAAACATAGCTAAAGACAGTGATTTTGAAGGTAGATCTCAGGAAATAATATAGAACAGAGAAAAAGATATTTGGTTTCTTAACTGGCTATTGCTTTTGGATCCATGGTATAAGTAACTTTCTTTTGCTAAGTTAACCTAGTTACAATAACCATTTAGCATTGGGAAGGAAAATACTAGAATGATTCAGTATATAGCATATAGTTTGATGAATGCAGAATGACCCTCCCAGGCTTAGTATGAATTGTCGGAAGAGGGAGTCCTACCTTCATGATAGGACTACAAGTTTCTTAACTGTCTCTTTGACTAAGCCGTGAAAACTCTAACTCCCAAGAAAGTCTGAAATGGGCTCTTTAAGATATGTTCTTTTAGAGCATAAAAACTATCTTCAAGAGTCCTCTTTAAAAATGCAAATATTCTGGCAAGTTAATCCTTTCAGTTAATATCTTAGAGCTATATTTTATAAAAACTATTATAGTATTGCTGCTGGTATGCAATACGATCTTATATATACAGGTAAACTTTTAGTTCTTTTAAAAATTCAGTAGTTCAAGCCCTGGTTGGGTAGCTCAAATGGTTAGAGCAATGTCCTGATATGCCAAGGTTCCAGGTTCGACCTCTGGCCTGGGCACATACAAGAAGCAACCAATGAGTGCATAAGTAAGTGGAAAAACAAATTTCTCTCTCTCTCTAAAAATTCAATAGTTCAGTAACTACTTCAATGTACTTTGGGAACATAAGCTATCATATCAAAACCACAATTTTGTAAAAAGTACTGCTTAGGGCGAGGGAACAACAAGAAGTCATTAATAGTACGGGTGGCACACAAATATGACAAGTCATGGGAGTGGAAGAGCAAATGGGAAACACTGTCTTTGAAGAATTAAGAGAGCAAGCCGAGAACCCGGAGAGACGGAGGGACATAACACACACTAGGTGCTCCGGGTTCAGAAGCAGTTGCTAGGAGAAGTCCGAAAAGCTCTGAAAGGAAGGCAGGAGCTTTGCCAAGAATAAGCCTAAAACTTCTCCTGGACCTGACCCAGGTTCTCAGGAAGGGCCAGTCTCTCGCTGAAGTGGGCTGAATGGTCGCATTTGTCATGTGTCATAGGATAAGCTTAGGAGACTCTGGAAAAGTTTCTCTACTCAGATGCACGATATTTCCCTCAAATGTTACATTGTCATATTATCCAATCCTCCATCCATTTAAACCTAGTTGTGTTTATAAACTCTTTTTAAGTTGCAAATACTCCTGGGAGAGCTGTCAGTCATTCACAATTTAGTAAGATCTATATTCAGACTGCCTTTCTCCAAGCACTTAGGCTGAAGTCGGCGACTGTGGCAGGAGAATTTTAATGAGCAGAGGCAACGAGGGAGGGAGAGCTGACAGTGCAGGGAGGCGGGAGCAAATGGTGTGTGCAGAACAGGGGGTGGCGGTGAACGCAGTGTGGAGGGAGGACAGAGGTCTGAGGAAGGGGCCCCAAGCCTTCCAACGAGGTCTGCTTCACCACTTTGTCGGGCTGGCCCTGAAAGTTAGCATAGAAATAGCTCTGCTTGCAGCAGAGCATTGAAAGGTGTTCTTGTTCTTAAGAAGTACAAAGTGGTTGTTAGACTGATGAACTTCGAAGGGAAAGGGGGAGGGAGGACAGGATGAGACAAGCCAAAGAACTTCTATGCATATATGCATAACCAGTGGACACCGACGATAGTGTGGGGAAGGCAGGAGGGGGGCGGGATTGGGGGGGGCAATGGGGAATAAAAGGGGGGACATTTGTAATACATTGCACAATAAAGATGAGTCAAAAAAAAACATTGCTCCCTCCCCAAAAAAGGTGTTCTTGTTGAACCTTCAGAGGGAGTGATCAAAACGCCTCACGACGTTCGCTGCGATCCTTAGATAAAGCCCGTTTCCTTGGCAATCTCCAGCCGCAGACAAGGCAGGAAACTTACCTAGTTTGAGCACAAAGTTGATAAATCTCTGGATACAAAACTGGAAAGGAACAAACAAATCTAGAGTCAGTATTACTGAACTGTGATAACAATGAAAGAAAAAGAACTTAGAGATCAAACTGTAGAAACCCCAAACCCAAAAGTCCACACACCTTAGTTTTCGGAAGGTCTGTCAGAGTGAGAAAACCAGCCCAGTGAGGATGGTTGAGACCCACCCAGGACCCACGCGGAGAAGAAGCCCCAGTGATAGAATTGGGTAACAGAGAGGTAAGACAGGGAAGATAGTCTTTGCCCATCAAGTGCACGTGGGTAAACTTGTCAGATAGTGCAGTAGTTTCCAAACTGGGATACACTAATCTCTGGGGTATCTAAGGGGCAACTGGCCAAGGCAAAGATTTATGGGGATCAGTTTCTAGATCCTCAACTTCCATAAGTGCTAATTTCTAAAACTGATCAGAATAAGAATTCACACACAACGCAGGCGTGGACTGTCCTTTTATATTTCCCCTTTCACAGTCCCTTTTCTCTCACTTTTGAAGAAATAAAGACATAGCTCCCCCATCACTGCCCTGAGACACCTCTGGGAATCAAACAAAGGAGCAAATCAAAATGTTGGTATTGGAAACCCTGGCTGGTTTGGCTCAGTGGTAGAGCGTCGGCCCGCAGACCAGTGAGTCACGGGTTCGATTCTGGTCAAAAGCACCTACCTTGGTTGCGGTTTGTCCCCAGCCCTGGTCAGGTCATGCGGGAGACAAACAGTTGATGTGGCTCTATCACATTGATGTTTCTCTCTCTCTCTCTCTCTCTCTCTCTCCCTCCCTCTTCCTCTCCCTCTCTCCCTCTCTCCCTCTCTCCCTCTCTCCCTCTCTCCCTCCCACTCTACCTAAGGATAAATGAAAAAATATTTTCAGGTACAAAATTTTAAAAAAATCGTTGGTATATTGGCATCAACATAGAAAGTGACTGAGTGATTCCTCTAACTAATGGATAATGAGTCCCCTAAAAAAATCAGAGGTTTTCAGTTTTGTGTTTTTAACACTGCTTTCAATGTTGCTACTCAGGTTGTCAGGTGAAAGTCGTTAAATGATCGGGCATTCTGCTTTTGGGCATGTGACGCAATGCAGTGACACTGTTATAACCAAATTTCTTCCATTCTTATCTGGTAATTTATATGAACAGGATTTCTCAGCACTTATTTCTCTAAAAACAAAAACTAAAAATACTGTTGATGCTGAACTTGAACTCATCTTAGCAGTAAGTAATATTCATCCATGATTTCATGAACTAATTCATAAAAAAAAAAGACTTCCATCTATCTCATTAAGAAATGTGTTTTCAACAACATTTTACTTTTATGTTGTGTTAATTGTATACTAGTCATGAAAAAGTCAATGTAGCCCTGGCTGGTTTGGCTCAGTGGTTAGAGCATCGGCCTGTGGTCCAGAGAGACCCGGGTTCAGTTCCTGCTAAGGGCACGTACCTTGGTTGTAGTTTGTCCCCGGCCTGTGCGGGTGGCAGCCACTCAATGTGTCCCTTTCACGTCGATGTTTTCTCTCTCTCTCTCTCTCTCTCTCTCTCTCTCTCTCTCTCTCTCTTCCTCTCTCTCCCTCCCACTCTACCTGAACAAAAAATGGACGAATGTCCTCCGGTGAGGATAAAAAAAAAGTCAATGTAGAATAAAATTTTAATATCCAGAGCCTTACAACCATGTATCCATATTTCCCCCCTCATACTCAAACTATAGCACATCGCATTCACAAGTCTACACTTAGCTGCTTTCTTTTCACTTACTATATCATGGAGATCTTTCCAGGTCTGTACATATAAAACCGCCTCATCCTTTTAATTGATTGTGTCACTCAACCATAATATCTTTAACCATTTTCTCATAGATGGGTATCTGGGCAGCTTCTCTCTTTGGCTATTATAAATAATACTGGAAGGAATGTCTTTGCACAGGTGTCATTTCACTGATGTAACTGTAACAGGCGGAACTTAAGGCCATGAGAACGACTAAGGTTGGCCCTAGTTTGTCACTTGGCTGCCTCTCCCCTTGACTGCAAACTCCTTTAGGGCAGAGACCCGCTGTATTGAAACTATGCACTCTGGTCAGTCACTTGCCTTCAAGGAGAAAGAGAGGATGCGGTAAACGGGCTTCTTTACCAATATTCCTTTGACTGGGATGATTTATTCGGGTGGGGCTAAAGGGGAAAAAAGATAGAAACTGGAGCGGCCAAGAAAGGGAGCCGCTAAGGGTCCATATCACAGCTGTTCCGCCGCTTACTCCCTCCGATCTTTTAGCTCAGGACCGGCTGGAGTTTGCAGAGGTAGTTTCTTCTGGGAAACTAAGGAAAAAGGAAGCCAGGAATGCAAAGGGATGTGGAGTCCACACACAGACTTCGTATTGTAATTTAGATCAAAGTCTTGACAACATTTACATTAGTGGGCGTAGTTTCCTAAGGCCTCACCCAGTTCCTGCTCCCAGCTTCACCGGCCTGGGGTTGAACAGGGGTAAATATTTAAATGAGCTATTTAGACTTTAAGTAGGAAGCGGACTTAGGCTGGCTCAGTGTTCAGGACAGGCCACCAGCTCTGATCTTGCTTATGCCTTTCATCCCACTTAGTTTCTTTCTTTCTTTTAAAAATACATTTTTATTGTTGACAGTATTACAAATGTCCCTCCTACTTAGTTTCTTGGGATACTCCTCTCAGTCACTTTCATTATCCTGAAAAATCCCTGAGCCTCTTGGCCTCCAAAGTCGTTCTCTTGTGCCTACTCTAGTTCTTTCCAGCTCATTCCATGTACCTGAAGTGCACACACGGCTGAGGCCGGTTCCACCAGCGAGGCTCTGTGTTCCCAGGACACCAGGCTGTCCTCCCTGTCACATTCATGGCGGTGCCATTGCCCTGGGCCCTGCTGCTCTGCTTCCCCTGTTCCAAAGCCAGGCTCCTGTTTGCCATGGTGAGGAGGACTGGCCTGCTCTGACTTTGAATGAAGTCTCCCCATTTTAGGTCACAAGCTTCACCGCTCCTGGGGACTCAGATGGGACGTCCTCAAGGGGATGGCAGGCGGTCATTTCCCCAGAAACCTATGGCTATTCTTTTACCGTCACAGAAATACTTTGAACAGAGAGAAAAAATAAGATCCTTTCTAGGAGGAACAGAGAGGAGTCATCCCGCCTGGGCCTGTCCTAATCGGACATGTAGGGAGCACAGACCAGGGGGACAGGTCGGATTTTAAACAAGAAATAAGTAGCAAACAGAAAGGAAGGCAAGAAAAAGGCGGCTAGGCAATTCAAACGAGGCCAGGTATGGGGGATGAGAGGGACTAAGAATTCGCAAGCGGGAAAGAACAGAGGCTGTGATTTAGGGGAAGAGGAGAAAAAGTTAACCTGGTAATTCAGGGCTGAAGAGAGGTCCTTCCGTTCAAAAGCCTCCAGCATCTGGTTAGTCTTTTTCCCCAGGTAGTTATAGGTACTGAAAAGAAAACAGCACATATGCAGCACCAGTAACCCAGCGGGAAAGGTCTGGATTTTCGAACCCATCTGCTGCTTCCAAGGCCCAGAGATGCCGAACTTGCAGAAAGTGTAGGTTTGGGCTGTCCCCTGTTAGAGGGCCAGGCTCTCCAGTACGATCTCCAGCAGCACTAAGCAATGCAAGAGGAGGCAGAGAACACTCAAGCGAATGAAGAAAAGTGGGAAAAGTAGAAAAAGGAAGAAAAAAAAGAAAGATAGAGGTGTGTTTGGTAAGGAAGCACTGAGGCCACCCCTGCTCCAGGGCACACACAGGGGCACAGCGCTGGGTAAGAACCGTGGGTCAGCCCGGCCTGTGTGGCTCAGTGGATAGAGTGCTGGCCAGCGCACCAAAGGGTCTCGGGTTTGATGCCCGGCCTGGGGCATGTGCGGGAGGCAACCAACTGATGTTTCTCTCTCCCATGGATGTTTCAAGGTTTCTCTCTCTCTCCCTTCCTCCCTCCCTTACTTCCACTCTCTTTAAAAATCAATGGAAAAATCATCCTGGGGTGAGGATTAACAGCAACAACCAAAAGAGAACTGTGGGTAAAATGTGAGTCCTCAAAGCCTGGGCTGAGGAAGCGGGTTAAGGGAGCTACAGCAAAAAGCAAATCCCACTGGGTTACCTAAGTTCCTCGACAATTTATATCTTATCTAGAGACCAGTTTCTAGAAAGCAATGACAATAACACAATAAAACGAGAGGCCATATATTCTAGGTGCCTGACATAAATCAAGCCTCATTCTCTCTAAGCCCTGCAAGGCAAGCCTGGTTTCTATGGCAACTGTGATGAAACTATGGCTCAAGAAGGGCTGCAGAGTTATCACAGTTTCCATCACTTCGTGCTGCCCTCTGTACAACCCAGCAAAAGTGATTTGATCTGATAAGATGATCTGTGGACTTCAAATGAAAACGCTCTGACTTTAGCAATAAAAACAAATCCTTTGACTAATCACTAAGATCGTAGAGAAACCAGAAAGATAGGTTATAAAAATGTCTAACTAGAATGTTTCCACATATGTTAACAATTTTCTTTTATCCTTACCCGAGGACATTTTTCCATTTTTTGTTCAGATAGAGTGGGAAGAAGAGAAAGGAAGAGAGACAGAGAGAAACATCGACGTGAAAGGGACACATCGAGTGGCTGCCACCCACACGACCCAACCAGGGCCGGGGACAAACTGTAACTGAGGTACGTGCCCTTAGCGGGAACCAAACCCGGGACTCTCTGGTCCGCAGGCCGACGCTCTATCCTCTGAGCCAAACTGGCCAGGGCTGTTAACAATTTTTATATAGTCGGTCAGTATCAGAAAATGTGCTTATCTTGATGTACCAAGAATAGAATGTCCCCCATGTATGTAAACCCTGCAGTCAACAGCAAGAGATTCCAAGGACATGAGGTTCATTATTATCGTCTGGTAATAAAGTGAAGACAATAAAATATCATGGCTGAGAAAAATTCGCTTGTAGGGGTGAAACACTCCTAAGTCCTAATATGTACATGAATGTCTTAGGTGTGTCCTCAGACAGAGAGGAACGTGATTCCTATTAAGAAGACATGAAGTCTAACCAAATGCACTCTGCTTATAAATTATGTTGACAGAATTAAAATGTCTAGTATTGAGGCGAAAAAAACAAGAGTCCAAACAGTCGCAATTTCCAGGGGAAGAAAAAGCTTCTGTGGTCAGCCGATGTGGGCATTCAGGTTCCCTTGGTAGAGAACGGCCTTACGGTGATGATGGAGGATACAGGCCATCGGGGCTGTTAGCAAGCCACTAGGACTGTCTAACTCAATCACTCTTCATCAAAGCCATGCTCACCAAGACATGTTATGATATTACTTCTGCAAGGAAGAAAGTCACTTTCAGTTAGTGCAAATATTTCAATCAATCTGCTTGCAGGCACATTTCCAATGAATTAGGTTAACATGCAGTGGACATGCCAATCAGATCGCCTGCCTTTCCTAAGCTGAGTAGGCAGCAGGTAACATGATTCTACTTTGCTGCCTGCAGCTGATAGGACCTTAGGTGGACACCTGACTATCTGCTGATATCCTGAGATGCCATGTTTGGGAAGCCAAGATGGACCACGTGTGTGCAAAAGCAGAGAAAGCCCATCTGGAGAGAAAGGAAGGGGAGAGGGATGTGCAGAGAGATGCAGAGGGGAGCATCTCCTGACGACCACAAATGGAGAACAGGCTGCCTTGGCTGTTGAGAGCTTTGTAGTTCTGGATTCTCATCTTCTTCTAGGCCTGGCTACACTTCCTCCTCTTGAGTTTTATGTAATGTCCTAGAATTTTATAATAACACCTTAGTTCGCATAAACTAGTTCCCATGGGTTTCTGTTATTTGTTAGCAAATGATTTCTGACTAAGAAATTTTGTGCATGCTCTCAGCTCCTGTGCCTGACCTCTAACTGCTTCTAATAACTGACTGAGTTGCTAAGCCCAACTTAATTCCCCCTCAATGAAAGATTGTGGGGAGCCCTGGCAGGTTTGGCTCAGCGGTTAGAGCATCGGCCTGTGGGCCAGAGAGACCCAGGTTTGGTTCCCGCTAAGGGCATGTACCTCGGTTGCAGTTTGTCCCCGGCCCTGGTTGGGTCGTGCCGGTGGCAACCACTCGATGTGTCTCTTTCACGTCGATGTTTCTCTCTTTCTCTCCCTCCCACTCTATCTGAACAAAAATGTCCTCGGGTGAGGATTAGAAAAAAAAAAAAGAAAGATTGTGGGGAAGTAAGGCAACTTGTATAGAAAGGCGTACATACAAGCATTAACTACTTAGGAGATGACTGTCTCTAAGTGGGGACTTTATATTTATACGTTTACACATGCGTAACCACTGGGGATGAGCCCTGCTTACCTGCCCACTGCTCCGGTTGCTCCCATCACCAGAGCGCTCAGCAGTTGCTAATCAGAAACAGACAAAGAGTATTTACTTTTCTAAAAAAGAGAGAGAAGACGCTACTCTATAAGCAGCGTCGTAAATGGTTTTGGAGGGAAACTAACCTGTGGGATATGCCAAGGGGAGCCTTACCTCATCCACCCCAAAAAGGAAAGCAAACTGTCGCTGGCGATTCTGATCAACACACTGCCCAAAGTCTAAGAGGTCCGTGTCACTAAATTTCAGCCCTTGGAAGGTGGGGATCTTCTCCTGAATCCCCTCCAGCAACTCCTCGGCACGAACTGCTCCAAACAATGAATGCCTCGTTAGTCCGCACACCTCCAGAAAACAGCAAGTAACATCCCACTGCCCACACATCTGCCCTGAGTTGCCAGGAGCTACTCTCAGCCTTAATTGACGCAGGTTGGACACGCCCACTTGCCCTCACCTTGCAGGCCCTAGGTACTTGTCAAATTATAGCCCCAGGTCTTCCGTTCCTTGAAGACTACTGATGGAGATTTATAGAGCACAACTTCTATTTTGCCTTTTAAGAAAGTTAGAAAGGAATGGGATTTAAAAAATAATCTCCTAGCCCGGCTGGTGTGGCTCAGTGGATTGAGCGACACCCCATGGACTGAGAGGTCCCAGATGGGGTCCCTGATGGGGTCCCGGATGGATTCCCGGTCAAGGCACATGCCCAGGTTATGGGTTCGATCCCCAGTAGGGGGCGTGCAGGAGGCAGCCGATGCACGTTTCTCTCTCACATCCATGTTTCTATCTCTCTCTCCCTTCTTCTCTCTTGAAAAAAAGCAATAAAAACATTTTTAAAAATTAAAAATAAATAAAAATAATCTCCTAAAAATTTTCATTTCATTGTAACAACTTCTTACCAGAAAGGTATAGTAATAATCAAAGGAAAGCTAGAAGAAAAGTGAAAAAGGTCAGAGTACCTTCCTACGTGCCAGGCACTGAGAATACAGTAGGTACAAGGCAGACACAGTCCTGTCCTAGCGGGGCTTCCACGCTGTGTCTTGCTGAGTGTGACAGACACAGGTGTCTGCTGGAAGTGCCTAGGGCGCAACTCCTCATTCACACTTGACTTCCATTATAAGGGGGTGTCAGTGATTGACAAGGGCTGACTTAATTTTTGATAAGTGCAATTGGAACGATGTAGTCAAGAGTGGTATGCTTTTAGGCCCTGGGGTGGGTGGGAAGGGGTGGGGTTTCTCAGTGCAACAGGGTGAGATGTGAGAGGGGGAGGGAAAGAAACATGGACAGAAGCAGTACTTACTCTTTACCCCTGTCAAGGCGGGAATGTGATAGTAATAAAAAGGCACGGCCGGGGCAGCCGCAGCCACCTCCTTCAGGAAATCAGTGAGGTCATCTGAAAGAACAGCAGGACAAGACAGGATGTGGACGCTGTAAACACTGGCTTTCGCTGGGGGATGAACCCTCTCGGGAAATGCAGCCATCCCTTTCGGAAGCCGAACGTTCTTGGCCCTCTTAACATCCCTGAGATTGCGTACTGCCCTGTCTTTGCAACTCACTTCATTCGGAGTTTTCTTTCCCTTCTGTAGAAAGGCCAAAATAAGTCGGTCGCTTTCCCGTCATTCTGAAGTACTATTACAACACTGTGTGAACCTTCCCACCTATTAAGAAAAGCTCACGAGCCTGGGCCGGTTTGGCTCAGCGGTTGGAGCATTGGCCTGTGGTCTGGAGAGACCCGGGTTCAGTTCCCGCTAAGGGCACGTGCCTCGGTTGCAGTTTGTCCCCGGCCCTGGTTGGGTTGTGTGGGTGGTGACCACTCGATGTGTCCCTTTCACATCAATGTTTCTCTCTCTCTCTAAAAAAAAAGAAAAAAAAAAAAGAAAAGCTCACGAGATGCTCTTACAATTATGAGGAGCCCATCAGGTAGGACCCTTGTCCTCTCGCCCCAGAGGGGCTAAGCGTGGTCAGTGAACAACAAAGACTTTGCATTCGGGTCAGAATAAGAAAGTTGTAATTGAGGAAATTCTACAACAAAAGGATAAGCAGCATTTGCTCAAAGAGGGAAGTTACCGGACTCCCACTTTAGCCAGCATGGGTGCTTCTCCTTTTGGGGAGAAATCCAGGTATATCAGAAGAGCGCTCACTCTCGTTTACTGAGGAACTGGGACTTTCTACATCAGCCAATGTGAGCTTCAGCTGCAACATTGCTGCAGATAAATAAATCCAGCAGGATTGCTTTTGATGCCATTGGAGAGTGGGAGAAAGGATCTTACATTCTCCACCCGAATACTGTGATGATGTGTTCTGCTTGTGATGAAAATTTCTGACAGAAGTATTACGTATCATTTGTTCTTTTTCCCTTGTCTGTCTTTTGGGGAAAGTATTCATGTAAAAAATTTTAAAGCCATGTGAAAAAAAAAAACCCTACCTTTTCAAATGTTCATTTTAAATTCCCCAAATAGCCCAGCCAGTGTGGCTCAGTGGGTTGAGTGACACCCCATGGACCAAGAGGTCTGGGTTTGATTCCTGATCAGGGTACGTGCCCAGGTTGTGGGCTGCATCCCCAGTGGGGGGCATGCAGGAGGCAGTCGATTGATGTGTTGCTCATTGATGTTTCTATCTCTCTCTTCCTTCCTCTCTTTCTAAAAAAACAAAAACAAAACATATTTCAAAAAATAAATTCCCCAAATAGCAGTATTTAAATTACTTATTGATATTAACAACAATAATAGGTGTTATTACATGATCATTTCAGCCCATTATACATTTAGATATGGATTTATTTAATCAAGTGTGCAAATAACATTTTGTCTGTTCCTAATCCTTAAAAAAATTGTATTTCTTTCTCTCTCTCTTTTGTTTTGCTAATCAAAAGGATTAAAATGACAGTGTACTTGGAAACCACAAGTACTTTTTATAGAGAGTGTAGAGGAGGGAAAAACAATACCTTGATATTTTGGAAGATAGATGTTTCTGTGAAATATCTTTTCAAATTCATCATTCACTCAAACTTGTATAGAACATGTAATCTCAAAATGCTCAGCACTTATATTCTTCTTTTTTGAGAACAATGATCTCAAGCTTGGCCATGTGACTCTGACACACTGCACAATTCATACAATAAGGAGTGGACACCTGACTCAAACACAGACACTTGCAGGTTGACCCGAGCTTGATGCATGACCCAATCAGATTACTTGGCAAAGGAAATGAGATCCTTTAATGAAGTCTTTTCTTTTACGGATCCAGGAGGCCAGATACTCTGGAGAACTGCTGTACCACTGCACCGTCATACCTACAGTCCATAAAACTTCACTTTCATGAGTTAAATACAACCACTGTGGAAAAAGGCGAAGAAGTGAACCTGTGAGATACTGTGCATTTAGACCTAATTACCTTTGTTCTGTGGCTTGAGAAAGAAAGGTGCAATGACAGCGATGCCATCGGCTCCTATTTCTGCTGCATGTTTGGCCTTCAAAAGAAGAAAGACCATTATGGATCTGGTCACAGTTCTGATGTGTGTAGGTGTGGGGGTTTCCCCGCACCAACAAGCAATTCTCTGACACTAGCTGGGCATCCTACAATTCTCCCTGGACACTACCTACCTGGATAGTCAGATTCCAGAGGTTAAGGGCTTAGTCCCCTATCCCCCTCCTCCCACTTCAGATGCCAGTCATAAGCTCAGGTTATCACCTGTGGTGTTGACTCACTGGCTGTAGATCAGAGGTTCCAACAACCTCCTCCTTGGGTTGTAAAAGGTCTGAGCCGGTGGGAGATCACATTCACAACACAAGGCCAATGTAGAACAAAATGATTTTATTGCATCTGCCTGGGTGCAGATGGGCTGAGCGCAAAAAGGGGTCAGACCCAAATAACAGTTGGGGTGTACGTTATATACGCTATTTCTAGCTTCCGGCAGTTCCTACTGACGTACTCTGCCTGACCCATTGTCCACTTTGCAATTGGACTGGTCTGGTATCACATCCTGCATCTGCTGGGTGATTTATTGTCTTGCAGATAATCTGATAATCCTTACTCAACAGAAGGCTGAGCAAAGGTCATGCAAGCAACACATTTTTCACAGTTTCCACCTTTTGCAAGGTTTTACCTTTACCCTTTGCAATGTTACTAACCCTTTCAGGTTGATTGATTTGCTAGAGTGGCTCACATAACTCAGAAACATTTTACTTACTAGATCACCAGTTTATTTTAAAGGATATAACCCAGGATCAGCCAGATGAAGAGAGGCACAGGGTAAGGCATGGGGAAAGGGTGCGGAGCTCCATGGCACTCTGCCCAGGTCTCCTCTTGTTCAACCTGGAGGCTCTCTGAACCCCCACCCCCACTTCTGAATTTTGATGGAGGCACCGTTTCATAGGCATAATTGATTAAATCATTGGCTATTGGTGAGTTATTCAACTTCCAGCCCCTTCCCCTGTAATCTATTAGTCACTTGGTTGGTTTTCCTGGCAACCAGCCCCATGCTTGGGTGCTTTACAAAAGTTACCTCATTACCTAACAAGAGACACTTTTATTGCTCTCATCACAGGACGTTCTAGGGGTTTTAGGAGCTCTGTGCCAGAAAAGGGACAAAGACCAGATATCACAGTCCCCACTTATCCACATGGCTAGTCTTTTTCACTTAACATATTGTTCTCAAAGTGGTTTCATCCACATGGTAGCATATAATAGGATGGATCTCCCTCCTTTGAAGGCTGAGTAATATTCCGCTGTCTGTGTACCTATTTTGTGTTATCCATTCATCCTTGGACGAGCATTTGGGCTGCTTCCACCTGCTGGCCCCTGTGAGTAGTGCTGCTTTGAACATGGGCGGGGGCGATCTTTCCTGTTTCGTTCTCTCTCCCTCTCTCCAGGCAGCAATGCTCAATTTCTACCACTCATCATGGCTGAACCCCATCTCCCATCTTCTAGATGGCAAGCTCTCTGAGTTCCCACACCTTATACTCTCCAGCAGAGCATCCAATATATAGCAAAAGTGGTATTGATTTTAACTTCAGCATAAAAATGGAGGTCCTTCGAATGGTCTCTCCCGGATGGACCTACATACATACCAGTTCTTGCGACTCCTTCAAGCTCAGGGCTCCTACATGAATTACCACCTGGTCCAACCTACAGAAGAAAAGCACGGTTGCGTCACTTGACATTTATGACAACAGAGAGGGGCTACACTGTCTCGGTTTGTGCTGATTTTAGCAGTTAGCTAATATCTGATTAACTTCAACCTCATGACTATTAAATTCTGTAGTGGTCTATTTCTAATTAATCTAATCGGGATTTATAAAAAAAAAAAAAGAATGTCCAGAGAATAAAATTTAAGGTCCCGCTGAGGAGTAGAAATTTGAAACCAGTAACTGGTTAATCATTACTTTGTTACATTTTTTTGGACAAAGCATTGTTCTAGATGCTGTATTTGATGGTGATTATGTGCATAAAGATAGGTGTAAAACTGAGATTTATTTTGTGTGGAAGATAGACATAGAGAGGTCCCTCAAGAGTACAACCAGAAACCAGCCGTATGAGAAATTCATTCACTGTAAGAAGCTTTTTCCTATCTTTAAGTCCCTAGAATTTGGCCCTAAGAGGTTTTCTCTGAGACTCCAATGCTCATCTCATGGAAGAGGCACAGTGAGACTGGTCTACTCAGAGGAGGACTAACAAGACCCTGCTACGGATCCAGGTGTCCGAGGGAGTCTTCTGAGGCACTCTGAACGACACAGACCCGTCCTCGTCCTCGCGGGAAGGAGACACCACGTTTCCATTTAGGCCCATTCACTGTATCCTGCACTGATTCTGAGTTGTTCTGTCTTAGGTAAAATGAGACCTTGCTGGGAAGGGATCCCGTGATCGGATTTGCATTGTTAACAGATAATAAAAGACTTCTGAAAGGAGACAAGAAGTTGACTGACTTGTTTGACTCTTACCCACGGCTTTATTGCATGACCTCCTTGTCTCTCTTTCCTGGCTTAAGTTAAAACAATCATCCATTTCTTGCTCCCCTCCACCCGGTTGCTAGATGCTGCTAGAGAGAACCACCATATGGCTTTAATGCAAACTGATCATTTCCGATTCAGGAGAAGGAGGCTCCCGAAGGCCTTCTGGTTGGCCTGACTTACTTGCCTCTTTAATTCCCTGCAGTGGCTATTTCATTCTTGAGCTTTAAATTTCACCCCAACTTCGTGTTCTGGGCAGATGCCTTCGCCTCCCGGACACCAGAGATAAAGCTGCTTCCACACAGACTCCTCTCGTTTCCTCCTCTGCATTGAGCCGTGTCGCGGCTCTGCTCCCACCCCCCAATTCCTGGCTGTCTCCCATTGCTCCTCTCCCTACCCTCGGTTTTATTTCACTCCCCAGCCGAGACCCTCGGTTCTCCATTCTCTTTAATCTCTTTTCCCACGGCGGAGTCCTGTCGGCACAGAAACATGCTCAGGACTTTCCTGCTCGAAGCAAAAGAGGTGGCCCGTCCTCCTCCCCAGTCTACCACTCCATCTCTCCTTCCTCTCCAGAAATCTCTCCTGAGAATAAGCAGGCTCCGGCCCCCGTCACAGGTCCGCTGCGCTCGTCGGCCACTGCGGCCTGCTTCTGCTACGACCGCCACTGGCTCTGCTCTGTCCAGGGTCACTGGCCATGTCCCCCATGTCCTCCGTGTGCCTTCTCAGTCCTCCACCCGCTGACTCTCACGGCCTCTCAGCCACTATAACGAGAGTCCTAATGAACACAGCCTTCACTGCGAATAACCCCGGTGAATTCTTATGTGACAGTCGGGACCACGCCAGGCGCTGTTTGAATCCTCACCACCACCTTGTACGGGAGGGACTACTTTTATTCCTGTGGTACATGAAGCACAGGGTGATAAGACTTGCCCAGTTCACAGAGCTGGCAAGAGGCCCCCGGCCCAGGCAGCCTGGCCTCCAGTCCCCTTTTCAGTTCCATGCGACATGGACACTTGCTGAACCTGTCTTTCTTCAGTGACACTCCCAACTCCCGCCTAGCTTCCCAGGGCTCTCTGTCCCCTTCCACGCCAGTGTCCCTGTTTCTGGAGCTTCTTCTAAATGTGTCTCCTTAGCCTTCTTCTTCTTTGACTCTGCCCACGGTCTCGAAACTCCCTGGGCCCAGGATCTGCCTGAGAATTAGCCGACAGCTGGTGGATCACCAGAAAATGTGTCTGTGGACCTGTACCCAAAGCTGGCTTATAGTTCAGGGTGCTGGCGGTGCTCCGGGGCCCCTGAAGGCTCACGGCTCCATGTTGCCGGCCTCTGCTCCAGGCTCTCTTGGGATTTACCTCTAATTTTTTGCTTCTACTTCCATTCGGCAGCAGCGCTCACTCCCTCCTCTGATCCCTGTTCATACCATTTATCAGAAGGATCAGAAAGTTGTTTTTGTGACCTGACATCTCCACTGGGTGATAAACAACCTGAGGGCAGAGGTCCCGTTTTCCATCCCCGGTGCCGGCTCGGGGCGTCACACACAACAACGTGATAGACAACAAAGAAAACTTGGTTAACTGAATGTGCTCGTCGAACTGACACCATCCTGTTTGTTTGACCATGACATGAACTGAGAATTGTAATGAAAATATGCCATCACACTGAAGTTTAGAGGATGCAGGAAATGCGCCGAGACAAGAGGAAGCCCGTAGAGAGCATGCTGATCGGCTGCCCAGAGAAGACCTGTAAGGGAGCAGGGCTGACAGAAGCATCAGGTACCCATCCCGAGAAGGGAAGGAGCAGGGCTCTCTCAGCAGAAGAGCCAGGAGCCCAGCAGAGTCAGCCACCAGCACCTTCCCCGCTTATCCCCAGCCCAAGGCCAGGTAACCCAAGAAGACTGATTGATGGATAGATGAGAGGCAGGCTCCATTTCTGGATGGAATCTGAGAGCCAGGCTGCCCTTCCCCACAGAGAGGAAGGGCGCTTCCCTGCCTGGGCTCCTCATCCAAGCGCTGGGATCCTCGGGTCCCTGCTCATTTCCCCACAAGCTGACCTCCAGCCTGACTTGTGACTGGAAGGCAGGGAGGCTGTCCCAGGGAGGAAGAGCAATGCGTACAGATGAGTATTTTTATGCGAATGGAGCTACTCACTTGTTCCTCCCTTTTGTCACCCACTCCTCTGCGACCCGGCGGCGCTCTGAGATGCTCAGAGACAGGCCTTCTCCCGTTGTGCCATTCACTGTTGCAAACAAAGAGGCAGTCAGTGGGACCAGCCAATACCTTTCACTCATCCAACACCAATGCTGGGGGGGTGAGGAGGGGGGCAGAAATCCCGGATCAAGAGGACGTGACCTGGAGAAACATCAGAGGATAGAATCCGGGAGGGGAATGCCATGTTTCCACTTGCACCTCGTACTCACTCTGTTTTCCATCTTCACCTTGTCAAAAGTAGCAGGAAGTGAATTCTGACTTATAATTATAAATCTGTCATTGTTATCAGGGTAGAGAGCAAAGACACAGATAATTGCCCTTGTTTTGGGCAAATCTGCAACACACCACCCAGTTTGATATTTGGGCTTGAATGGCAGGAAAATCAACACCATCCGGTACTGGGATGTCCAGGGGTCATGACCTCTGCCTGTGGTTCTGCATTGGTGCACTCTAGGACATTTGTTTCTATAATAATTCATAAGAAAGCACCAGATTGTTACTGTCTCTTGTAGCAAGCACTCTTCTATATTCACTTCTTCTCACAACAGCCCTGCAAAGTACAAATAATTCTTCCCATTTACAGGTGAAAATGTGAGGTTCTGAATCACTAACTAGAGATCCAATTTTGAATTCAGGTCTCTGATTCAAAAACTTTTCCTTCTAGTCAAGTAATCTTTCTCTTTTTTTTTTTATCCTCACCCAAGGACATTTTTGCATTTATCTTCAGATAGAGCAGGAGGGGGCGGGGCAAGAGAGAGAGAGAAACATCGATATGAGAGAGACACATCGACTAGTTGCCACCCACACAGCCCCAACCAGGGCTGCGGACAAACCGCAACCGAGGTACGTGCCCTTAGCAGGAACTGAACCTGGGACTCTCTGGTTTGCAGGCCGACGCTCTAAACCGCTGAGCCAAACTGGCTCAGTTTGTAGCTCAGAGCTAGTCAAGTAATCTCTTAATAGGTCACAGAAAGGATGCAAATGGCACAGGATACATCACTGGGCCTAATGCATATGGCAGCACTTTGGATCTCCAAACACTGAGCACTCGGCTGGGACAGAGGAGGAGGGTGGGAGGCGAGGAGGGTAGAAAAGTGTTTTTTATCACTCTTTTGGGTCCTCAAGACACTTTGAGCATGCTCCCCACAGCCCTTTGAGGAGGCAGAGTCTGTCCCCCCACTATGGCTTGGAGCCACAGGGGGACAGAGTGGTTCTGGAATCAGGTTTTGGTTGTGACATGTGGCCCAATCACCTTTTCACAGAAGTTTTAACCTGCTCTGATTACAACCGTGGTGCCCCCAGTTCTGAAAGGACCTGTTGGTAGAGCAGTAGCTCAGGCCCAAGGTGTAGTGACCTCAGAATGACAACCAATCCAAGGGGCTGAGGCCCAACACAAGGGGCAGCGTAGTTGCAGGTAGGCATAGTCGTCAGGCTTAAACAGGTCAAGCCTGATTTTTCCGATTTCCCTCTGTGCAAAATGAGGGTGACTGCTAGACCTGTGATTCCTTTATGTGCCACTGTTGGAGTCTTTCTTACAGGTACACTAGGAAAGGTCTGGGTGAAGAAAGAATAAAGCCCATTCTTAAGAGATAGAAGCCTGGGCCTAGCTGGGCAGCTCCGTTGGCTAGAGTGTTATCCCAATATGCCAAGGTTGTGGGTTCACTCCCCAGTCACATATAAGAATTAGCTAATGAGCCCTGGCCAGTTTGGCTCAGCGGTTAGAGCGTCGGCCTGCGGTCCGGAGAGACCCGGGTTCGGTTCCTGCTAAGGGCACGTACTTTGGTTGCAGTTTGTCCCCGGCCCTGGTTGGTCGTGCGGGTGGCAGCCACTCGATGTGTCCCTTCACGTCGATGTTTCTCTCTCTCTCCCTTCCTCTCTCTCCCTCCCTCTCTATCTGTACAAAAAAAATGGAAAAATATCCTCGAGGATAAAAAAAAAGAATTAGCTAATGAATGCATACATAAGAGGAACAACAAACATGGATACTTCTCTCCCTCTCTCTTTCCCTCTTCTCTCTGTCTCCCTTCCTCCCTCTCTCTAAAATCAATAAATGAGAGAGAGAGAGAGAGAGAAGCCTGGTTTTTGTTGTTCCTCTACCACTTCTTGGCTGAATAGACTCGGGCATCCTAAATAATAACGTACCTAAACCATTGAGTTTCTTCTTCAAATGGGGATAAAAATAATACTGTATCTGTTTTGAAGGCACACCACTAAATTAGATAATCTCTTGAGGTGGTTTTTTTTTTTTTTTTCCTCACCTGAGGACATTTTTCCATTTTTTGTACAGACAGAGTGGGAGGGAGAGAGAAGAAGAGAGAGAGAGGGAAACATCGATGTGAAAGGGACACATCGAGTGGCTGCCACCAGCACGACCAACCAGGGCCGGGGACAAACTGCAACCGAGGTACATGCCCTTAGCGGGAACCGAACCCGGGTCTCTCTGGACCGCAGGCGTCTGGACGCTCTAAGTGCTGAGCCAAACCGGCCAGGGCTCTTGAGGTGGTTTTTTGAGGTCTAAAATTGATGAGTCTACAGATTCACAAATTTGACGTAGCTCAGTCATAACCTGTGACACAGTGATGCTGTGACATCTTGGGTCCTGGCTAGTAACCAGGTGACAGCTACTTTCTGAGGATTGAATTAGAGTTATGTAGAGAAATCTCTGAAGATGACTTACCAAAGATATTCTTCACTCCTTGCTTTTCCACAAGATAATCCACGTACTGACCAATTACCGAAAAGTTGATTTCTCTAAAAGACACGGGAAAAAAGTATATTTAGTCTTTTTTAGAATATTATTTAATCAGTCCCCAAACCTATAATCTGCTCTATGTTGATAGTTTTGAAAATCCACCTAGTCAATGAGATTCTTAGCCACCTCCAAACAATACCTGTGGTTTTTATTCTTCTGAGTCTGGTGATTTCTCTGCTCAGCCAGGTATTTCTTATGTGAGCAAAACACTATTAATCAACAAAGGCTTTACATTTAATTATTAAAGATCATCACAAGTAACATTTCAAAAGAAGTTACTGAATCATCTTTTGTTCTTTTGGGGAAGAGCGATGTTAGGGGGCATGGTTAAATGAGAACATTTTCTACTTGGTGAGAAATAATCATCGCTTAGGCTTACAAAATAGAAAAATTCAATCTTACCAATCTAAGAATTTTAGTACTTAATATTTGGGACAACAAATGAAAGCTTAACTCCATCTGTATCTGCTAGTTTTAAACGGAAGAGGATTCCTAGTCGGAAAGGAACTTCGCTGTCACTTTGCGCCCCAAAGTGTGGTCCTCACGACAGTAGCACCTGGGGGAGTCTGTTAGAAATGCAGAGTCCCAGGCCCCGCACAGTCCTGCAGTCAGAATCTGCATTGTAACAAGAGCACCTTGCCGAGTACTGAGCTTGCAAACATCTGACGCTTAAGGCAATAAGGGCTCTTCTCCTTCAAATCCTATTATTGCAAACTCTAGAAAATGACTCAAACACAAACCATATAATGCCACCTGCTCTTATTCGAAGTATATAGGCGCAGAGGGTGGGGGATGGAGGGTGAAAACATGAAGGAGGACTGTGGGGCAAGTCGGTGTCAAACACTGTGGAATCCATGGTTACGTTGCCAAGAAACAAAGTGCTAGTCAGCCGCAATTTGCACTTTGTCAGTGGGGCCAGAGAATCCTAATTTAATTTTACCTCTATTAACATTCTTTCCTTATTTACCAATTGCAGTCCTTAAAAAAACCCAAAATGAAACAAAAGAGCCTGATTCATATGGAAAACGAAGACACTGAAGAGTATTGTCAAAGGGCATGGGAACAAGAGAGACCACAGCAAGGAATTCACAGGCAATGGTGCCCACCCCAGGCAGATGACAACCAGCTGGGCTTGCCCCGGAACAGGTGTGCTTTAGTGTAGTCAGAAGTCTCCAAAAGGAGCAGACTCCCTCCCTAATGGCTCGTGTAGTAATCACTGCCCTCCCTGCCTCACTTGCTCAAATGCCAAATCCTGGCCTCTCAGATTCGCTGAGCAAGGAGGCTCCCTGAATGCGTGGCAGGAATGGATTCAGGTTGCTCCTACTGAAATAAAAAATGGGGGCATTAGCTGGCTAGATGGTACATCTCAGGACCCTCCTGTAGGTCAGCTAGACCTGCTCAACGTCTTGAACTCGCTCTGCCTCAGACGTCTGACTGCTGGGAACCACACCAGCTCCTTGCTTCTTGCATCAGCTCTTTCCCACTCGGGGGGCTCTGAGACGCAGGAACAATCCGGAGGGGCTTCGCTTGTGTGACACGAACTGGTTTTGACCAGTGATGTCCATCTACTCACGCAAACAGCCAAGAAACAGCCCCAGCAGACCCAGGGGACTCTGAATCACAGATGGAAAACTGGGACGCACCTCCCTGGGCAGCAGCCTGTGCTGGAGTGACAGCTCCCAACACAGCAGCTTCCGCACGCTCTCACCGACGCGTTAACACCGCCCAGGCCCGCTCACTCACTCAGGGCCCTGCCAGAGGCCCTGCCTTTGTCACCAAGGAGAAGAGAGAAGACCGCAGAGCTCTGGACGGCCCAGGCCTGGGGGGCACTGTGCCTTCTTTTGGTTTAATCTAACGCTTTCTCACTGGGGAGAGAAAGCTGGAGAGCTTGTTTACATCCTCAGAAATTCTTACAGAGAGAAACGGACCTACTCAGTCTGTTAGGCTGTGTGGGTGTCTCCCCGAGGTGGACTCCCAAACTCAGCAGCGACCCCCTCCACCAAGTGGGCCTCGAAGGCCAGGCCACGTGCTCAGCACTGTGTCTGGCTCCAGTGAAATGCTGTTCTTACTCCGCAGTGCCGAAAACCAGAAATCCTCACACCTGCAGCCGAGTCCACGTCTCTCTTATTATCAACATCAATTATTTGTGCCCACCTCTGAGTGGCAGTGAGAACGTCCTGAAGGCATGGACTGTACCCTGTATACCTTGCAATCCCTCCTCTGCACCGGGCTGGGACAGGAGTTGCCAGGCGGGAACGGACAACGGTAATGAAACACCCGTGATCTGCCTTGAGAGTTGCTCATCCTCACTCTTGCACAACCCCTTTCAAGTCCGCTATTACGTTCACTGGGTGAAGGAGCTAAACTAAACCACGGCGGAAAATAGGGAAGGCTATGAGTTTAAAATTACGTGAACGGAAGTCAGACTTCCACAATGTTAAACTTTTCATACTAAAAAAAAAAAGATTTTATTTGAAAAGTCAGAAGCTCTAACAGGCCAGGTCCACGTTTCCATTCAGCACCAACTGGCTGGGAAGCGTAGTGGCTGCCCCACGGAGCCCCGGGTCACCTCAGGAACGTCAGGTCCCTGCCTGACTACAGGTGCAAGTCTGCAACCCTTGGCAGAGATGCTCGGGGGCCCCGTCACAGTGAGCTGAGTGAAATCACCCAGAGCTCTTTCCATGTGTGTCACAAAGGCACCCAAAGAGCAGGGCCAGGGTGGTGACCGGATGGTAATTCTCTCTGGGGACTTTGCTCCCTTCCCTGTTTCCCCATCTACTCTACCTCCCCCCAGTGTCTGGGTTTCCGTCCACTGCTGCAGGCACTGTGTCAGTTACCAGGAAGTCACCAGAGAGAAGGAAACAACGAGAATTAATTCTTCTTCTCCTCACTGGCTGTTTGGGGTTTGGTGCTCAGGGAAGTGAGAAGTGGCACCAGCCAGCCTTTTGAAACAGCTGGACTGGCTATCTCTGCATCTTCTCTCCCCATCCTTCCCCTGAGATTACATCTAACCACTGGCCACCTCGGTGGGGGGACTGGCCAGGAGCCAAACCCCATGCTTGCTGTAGTCACTTGCATTCTTTTTTTTTTTTTTTTTTTTTATCCTCACCCGAGGACATTTTTCGATATTTTGTTCAGATAGAGTGGGAGGGAGAGAGAGAGAGAGAGAGAAACATCGACGTGAAAGCGACACATCGAGTGGTTGCCACCCACACGACCCAACCAGGGCTGGGGACAAACTGCAACCAAGGTACGCGCCCTTAGCGGGAACCGAACCCGGGTCTCTCCGGACCGCAGGCCGACGCTCTAACCGCTGAGCCAAACCGGCCAGGGCGTCACTTGCATTCTTAACTCAAACTTAATTTCAGTTCCTGTGGGTTCAGATTCTTTGCCTTAGGTCCATCATTATATTTTAAATAAAAGTGTTTAACTTTTTTTCACACAGAAGCTATATAACATATTTTAGAAAGTATACACAATAAGAAGGGAAAAAACATCCACGCAGGGTCTCTCTGGAGATAATTGCTCTTATTAGTTTGATATTTTTCTTTTTTATCCTCACCCAAGGACATTTTTCCATTTGTTGTTCAGATAGAGTGGGAGGGAAAGAGAGGAAGAGAGAGAGAAACATCGATGTGAAAAGGACACATCGAGTGGCTGCCACCTGCATGACCCAACCAGGGCCGGGGACAAACTGCAACCGAGGTACATGCCCTTAGCGGGAACCGAACCCGGGTCTCTCTGGACCGCAGGCCGACGCTCTAACCGCTGAGCCAAACCGGCCAGGGCAGTTTGATATTTTTCTATTCACAAATACACAATATCGTATTTTCTTTCATGAATGTAGGCATATTATACATTATTGTAATATTTTTTTACAGCATTCCAAATTGACTATTTCCCCAGATATTCTGTTACTATCCTGGCTATACAGCATTTCACTGTATAAATGAACATAATTAATCTAGCTAATGCTCTATTCTTAGACATTTAGTTTACTTCCAAACTCTGTAAGAGGAGGGCCCTCTAATCCAATTATTTGAGCCACAAATCAAGGCCCTGAGCGGGTGAAACCGCATGTACTGTCTCTCTCTCTCCTCTTACAGTGTAAGGATGACAGAATTTTTCTGAAATGTCTTTCGAGGGAAAAATCCCCATTCCTGTTTGTTCCCTCTCCTGGCACACGATGCACAGGAAAGACTTTCCTCGGAGAAGACAGATCAGCCGGACGGGCTCTGTTCCTACGGGCAAGGTCGGCCTGCGTCAGAACCTGACGTTCCAGTTGTTTGCCCTTCACCTGTGTCTTTCAGCACCGCGCTCAGTGCAAGTTACATGTGCTTTTGGCAAAGTAACTACCTGGTTACTTCGAAGCTCCTGCGGCACAGAAGTGGGCAGGGATCATGTCTGCCCACCTTGCCAGGCCTGTTCTGGGTCCCGTGGTTTCCCAAGCACAGTTGAAAAGGCAGCGATCTGTACTCCCACCCCAGCAGGTCATGGGTTTTGTTTTACTAGATGATGTGGTGAAGATTCCCCCGGTGAAGTCAAGGGTAGAGAAGGAATTTCCTTTCCGGCTATGTGGCTAGGGGAAAGAGCTTTAGGATCTCGGTTTCATTCATTCATTGCAAAAACAGGGCTAATAGCTCTGCCGCAGAGTCGTCGTGAACATTCAGTTGGAACGTGTACATTAAGATGCCCAGCATGGCCCCGGCTGGTTTGGCTCAGCGGTTAGCAGTGGTTCTCAACCTGTGGGTCGTGACCCCTTTGGGGGTCGAACGACCCTCTCACAGCGGTTGCCTAAGACATAACAGTAGCAAAATTACAGTTGTGAAGTAGCAACAAAAATAATTGTATGGTTGGAGGTCACCACGACATGAGGAACTGTATTAAAGGGTCGCGGCATTAGGAAGGTGGAGAACCGCTGGGTTAGAGCATTGGCCCACAGACCAGAGAGGCGCAGGTTTGATTCCAGTCAAGGGCATGTACCTCGGTTGCAGTTTGATCCACAGCCCTGGTTGGGGTCGTGGGGGAGGCAACCAGTCCTTATGTTTCTCTCACGCTGATGTTTCTCTCTTTCTCTCTCTCTCTTTCTCCCTCACACTCTACCTGAAGATAAATGGAAACGTATCCTCGGGTGAGGATTTAAAAAAAAAAAAGCCCAGCATGACGACTGACACATAGTGTTTAGCCAATTACAGTTAGCTTCCTTTCTTCCTTTTCCTTAACCATCAGCAATAGTCATCCCTGCAGTATATTCACTCGTTAAATACCATAAATTCACCACACACTGTGCTAGACGCTGAAGATACCAAGATAAATCAGATACATGCTCAATCCTTGTGTATTGCCTGGTACTAGAGAAACTATCTGTTGAACAAGGTTAAGCCGTTCAGAGCCTGCTGGGAGAGGCAGGCATGTAACAAACAGTTATTGTAATACTGACTGTAAACAAATAATTCTGACGTAATGGGAAAAGGTATGCACAGGGTGCTGTGGGATCACAGGGGAAGGAGCCTCTCACTTCTTTTAGGGAAAATGGGGAACAATCACCAAAGGATGGTATTGAGGAAAGTGAGTGTTCGAGTGGAGAAGAGAAAGAGAGGGTGGTGGTGGAAACAGGCAGAGGAATGCGAAGGTGGAAAGGCGCAGAGGATGGAAGGGCATGAGGTGCTTGGGGAAATGCAAGTGTAGCAGAACGGGTAGACCGAACAGGACTTCCTCTGCCACCCAGAGGGTTTAGGTTTATCTCAGACGTCAATGTGCTAACAAGTCATCTAGAATTATGGTTAAAATGTCCGTTCTGATTCACTGGTATGAAGTAAGACCTGAAATTCTGCATTCCCAGCAAGTTCCTATGTGACGTTAGAGTAAATGGTCCATGGATCGTACAATGAGTTGCAAGGAGTGGAGTCAACAGAGATTTAAAGAGGAGAGTGACGTGATTCCACTGGTTTACGAGGAAGCTCACTGGGCTACAGTGTGCAGGAGAAACCGGAGTTGCGGGCATTTTATTTGCTCTCATTTAATGGGGATCACCAAGATACCCCGATGACATATCCTCAGAGGACTGCAGACTCCCAGCATTTGCATGGGTCTTAGAGATCACGTGGTTGTCTTTCCTCTCCTTACAGAACATGAAAGTGAACTTTTAAGAGGTGACAGGACACCCCCAGGGTCAGACAGCCAGTCGGTGGCAAAGCCGAATGAAGGTTAAGAACTCTATCTAACATGTTCTTTTTGCCAATTTTCTCACTTGAAGACATCAACTTATATCCAGAGAGTTGCTTTGGTGATGAGAATTCCTTAGAATCATGAAGAAAAAAGGATGCAGGGGACTAGCTCTTGGTCAGCCATTCCCAATCAATGAGGCCACGGTATACAATATGAGCCAAGTAGGAAAACTCCCACAGTGGCGGGCCACCAGGCAGAATGTCCAGGCGTGAGAGTCCACGTGACCCTTCTTTTCATTCTATCTCTTGGAAATGTGTCCAAAGTGCAGATTCCCTTCTGGGCAAGTAAGTTAATGCCCGCCTGCTCCTGGTGGGTGCCCCCGACCTGCTTTGTACGAACAGACATGTTTGGATGGAGCAGGTGCAGGGGAAAGGGAATGAATGGAGCTATGTGCCTACTACGTGCTAAAGACTTTTAAAGTGTACTAATTTAATTCTTACAAGTCTCTTACAGAAAAGTGCATTCTTATTTTGATTTGATGACAAAAAAGAGGAAATAGTGAAATTAAGATAAGAGGGCCAGAGGTATGTGGAAAATGGAGAAAAGGTCTGTTAGTAATTTCCAATACATGGGGCCTGGAGTCCCAGGAAAACAGCAGAATGGGGGGGGGGGGGACACCAGCACTCTTAGTGGGTCCCAGATGAACAACTAAGACTGTTTTAAGAAGCCACGTCTAGGCTAAGAGGGGTCTGATTGAAAAGGTTAAAGTACACCCTGGCCGGTTTGGCTCAGGGTTAGAGAGTCAGCCCACAAACCAGAGTCACGGGTTTGATTTCGGTCAAGGGCACGTACCTTGGTTGCGGTTCAGTCCTTGGCCCTGGTTGGGGTCATGAGGGAGACAACTGGTCAATGTGTCTCTTTTCTCTCTCTCTCTCTCTCTCTCTCTCTCTCTCTCGTCCACTCTATCTGAAGATAAAATGGAAAAATATCCTCGGGTGAGGATTTAAAAAAAAGAAGAAAGATTAAAGTAGCATCAACCAGATGTAGTGTTTTGAGTTTGCAAACAGGATCTTATTCCATAGCAGGAAGTAGTTCTGCCTGCTCATGCAATCACATGGCCTCTGTCTTATCTGTCCAACAAGTGGCTGACAAAGAGAAGGAGCTGACTCCAGTCTTTCTTAGAAATTGTGGAAAGTAACAGGGGAAGAAATGCTACTAACCATTGAATAATCCAAATGTCATCTCAGCAAGAATCTGACCTAGCAAAGATGTGATTTTTCATGAATCTTAGAAGCTTGAAGTCTTGAGCTCACAATGATCTAAAAGGAAAACTGTACTATGGCTGACTTTGAATGAGAACAGTAAATGTTATAAGAAATCTACTTTAAAGGGGTAGGGTAATGTTTACAAATTCAGCAACAGACCACCAAAAATAAGTAAAAGCCTTATTTAAAGATACCTTAAATTCCTCATCTTCCTTTTACCCCTGTCTTATGCTACTAAAGCAGTTCAAACTTATGGGCCTAAGTGCATACTGACCCTGTGCCAAATACTAATCTATAGATAGTCTCACTGAATGCTCATAACTCCATGATGTAGCTATGATCATCGTATTTTGTAGAGGAAGAAAAAAAAAACCTTAAAGCCGGAATTCTGATGGTTTTTAGTCTTTCTGACTCCTCTAAAAGGTCAAAAACATTTAGACCCAGGAGGTGGAAGAATCTCCTTTTTCTAAGTGGCAATATCCAGGGAGGAACTGTATGTCATGCATGGACATGTATGACACATGACCATTATCTGACAGTCTAAGCAAAGGGACTGCCACACTATTCATTTGGAAGTCATCTGCTTGTTACTTCCCTCTTTTGCTTGGCCAGTGATTTCTCAGCAATTATCTGTTGTTATCCCCGCTCTTGATTGGCCAGTGATTTCTCAGCAATCATCTGTTGTTACCCCCACTCTTGCAGGCTCCCCAACAACACTTAACCGATGTTGAAATGAGACTGCAAACACGCCTAAGGTGTCTCTCTTACAGCAACGTCCCCACTTTTATCACCTCTATATACAGCCTACTGTGGAATCATGCAGATGTCCAGAGACAGATCTAGAGGGGCCAGACCAGGGTTTGAGGTCAAATCCTGCTGAAATGAAAGTCTCATCCAATTCCACTGGCTTTTTTGGGGAAAGCCAAGGGTGCGATAAAGTCCAAGGAGAATTTGCATTGTGGACTTACAGACACTGGGGAAAAGGTGAGCTGCTATATCGTATCCTCTCTCTTTCTGCACTTTGAGATCTAGAGACCTGGTCTCTGACTTGGGGCCACAGACAGTGCAGGTGAATGACTGACAGAAGCTGCCACTTGGCAACGGTACCACAGAAGTACAGAGTTTAAGTGACTGCTATATAGAGAACATCTGTCCATTTTAGTGGCGTGAGAACAGATCCCTTTTTGATCCCAAATGGTAGTTACCCATGTTCAGTCATTGGCGTGATGGTTGCAGCAACCAGACCTTGAAGCTTCTTCTTCGAGGAGGCCATTGAGCTGCTGAAGAAAACCTGGAAAATACACAACAGAATCCCTCTCTTCTTCAGGGAATGTCAATTAATAATAAAACTCCCGGGCAAAGTCTCTTCACCATTTAGGACTGTGAAAAATGCTTACAAGCATGCAAACACAGAGAGCAAGAAAGAATGTAGAATTTTAGGGCTTAATTCCAAAGGAGAGGAAACTATTTTTTAAAGTCAGGAGAGCTGTGGTCTGGCAAGATACCATGGGAAATGCCTCTGATTTTATCTAGATGTTTGACGCAATGTCGAACTTCAAAGAGCAGGGATAAAAAACACTGGACCAAAGAAAGAACATGCACCTAACTCAGGGAGCTCAACTATATAAAGAATTACTAGTACTTAAATTGAAATATGGTCAGGAGAAAAGACACATTCTTAACTCTTTCTAATCTTCATTCTGTTAAGCAAGATTTTCACCCAAAACCAGCTCTTATAGTTTTAAGGCTTCAGTGTGCTTTCTGTAGCTTGTTTCAGATTTATTAGCTCTCCTTTCAGATGCGAATTTTGACCAGTTTTGTCTTGTTTTCCTACTTCTAGTAAACCACAGAAACTACATCGTGATTATCCATTCACCTCTCTCTCACTAGTATGAACTCCCCAGGACGGGCAATATGCTTCATTTGCCTTTGCTTTTCCTTCACCAAGTGCTCTGCAGACACCTGTATCCAGTTCAAAATGACTTTCTGGTTGACTGAATAAAGTGTTCAGATTGTAGCTGGATGATGACTTCCACATGTGGGGAGATCACTGTTGAGTCAACCTGACCTAAGTCATTTGGGACAAAAGGATCCCTCACCATCTGTTAGACAGTGTGCCTGTCCATAACCAGTATAAAAAAGCCAAGAAGTTGTCCAAAACAGGTAATGAGAGGCAACAGGGCATCCAGGTTAAAACCCTGGGTTCCACAGGCAGACTGCCTAGTTCAACCCCCAGTTCTGCCAGTTACTAGTTATAGACATGTTATTGTTATTTTTGTTGAGCTGCAAGACACAAAAATCTGAAGCCACCGATGCAAAGCCTCAAAACTGAAGAAGAACATAAAATATAATCAGATAGTATTTGGTGACAATTATATAAAACATGGTTGGCTTAGAGCAAATACACTAATGTCTACAGGTAATCAACAAGAGGAGGTATATTATAGTTTTGAGGACAATGGCACATTAAAAAAATCCACTGTAACTGTTATTTAACCCCTCTATATTTCAATTTCTCCTCCTGTAAATGGGGTTAATAGTAATCATACTTCCTAGGGTTGTTGAGAGAATTAAGTGAATTAATTCTCATAACGTGCTTAACAACAGTGGCAGACACAGTGAGTACAAGTTCAGGCCCTTCCATGAAGTCTTATCCGATGGCTAAAGGACATTAGTAAGTACTATCATTACTCCCTTACCAGCATCCTGTTTCCTGTCATCTCAGCTCCACCGAAACCTCCTCCCCAACCCCAGCTACTCTCTGCTATTCAGGTACTAAGTCGTTTCAATTCTGTTATCTTCTTTCCTGCATTCCTTCCCTGCCCCCTTACTGCCCCTCTTGTAACTTACCCTTTGTTACCTCTTATCTACACCCATGGGCACAACCCAGGTCCAAGGGGCTCATGGGGGCTCAAGAAGGTTCAAGCGATAAGAGTCCCAACAACTGGGTTCAGCATGAAACGGCTCCGGAATTGAACAGTATGAGGTTGTTTACACTCGACCTTTATATGCTTGGGCTGTTGGCTGCATTTATTTCATGCTTGGGGCAGGTACACTGATATTCTTATGATGAGCAGAAGCTCAGGCTGGCTGTTATACACATATTTGTCTTTGATTGAAAGAATTCAAGTTGTGACTTAAGCATAGTTTGATTAGTTAAAGCTTTCAGGTTTTTTTCCCCTTTATTTTTAGAGAAAAAGGAAGGGAGAGGGAGAGAGAGATAGAAACATCGATGAGAGAGAACATGGATTGGCTGCCTCCTGCATGCCCCCCACTAGGGGTTTGATCCACAACCTGGGCATGTGCCCTGACCCGGAATCAAACCAGTGACCTCTTGGTGCGTGGGTTGATGCTCGACCACTGAGCCACCCAGGCCGGGCCTGATTAGTTAAAACTGTCAAAGCATGGGGGAGTGAGATGCGAGTTGGGAATCACGGCCCAACCCGCTTATCTTCTTTCAATCCACTCCGGCTGCCAGATTAACCTTCCAGTCAGCACGGACATTTCTGACCTCGCCTTCACCAATAGCTTCCCATCCTGGCTTCCAAGAACTAAATACCAAACTCCCTGGCCTGGGTCTTCGTAAAGATCCCTTCATGCCTGCAAGTGCCCTAGCCCAGCTGTTCCCTGTTGCCACCTGCCCTGTCCCATCTGGCTGCTTGCCTTTCTCCGGTGGTTCTCCCACCGGGGATGCCATTCTCCCCCACTTCAGCCTTCAGTCTAGCCAACTTTTAAAAAGCTAGGAAAGATTCCCTGATCCCCCAAGATGAAGATAATTTTGTACCCCTTAACATTTCCCCAAACACTGGCTTTTAATTTCAAACCTTACATCAGAGTCATGAACAGGGTCGTTTGGGCTCCTCTTCCAGACAGTAAGCCATCTGGGGGCAGGAACCACCTAAACATGTATCTTTGCACAGAGCAACAAACCAAATAAACGAGCAGTTTGCTGACTTTGTGAACCATGAAAACTCTTACAGGAAGAGATGGGGTAAAAGGTCACAGCAGCTGTAACTAGAGAAGCATCCATGTTCTGTCCATTTAAGTTTAAAACGAACCTGGCAATATTATGCTTGACATTCTTTATAGCTTGTATCAAAAGCAAGTGGTTAGAATATTCTCCAGCCTAAAGTTTAATGTGAATTTAGAATATCATTACTGAAAACACGGAGGAGGGGCTATCGCTCTTGAAATCTTAGGCCTCTATCCGCAGACAAGAACACTTAGCACAAATGATTCAGGTTGCCTTAGTCAAATTCTCTGAAAAGGGCAAAGGGAAGGAAGGAAGGAAGGAAGGAAGGAAGGAAGGAAGGAAGGAAGGAAGGAAGGAAGGAAGGAAGGAAGGAAGGAAGGAAGGAAGGAAAGAAGGGTGGGTGGGAGGGAGGGAGGAAGACCATTTCTAGGGGCGAGAGAGGCTGCAATTCCGGGTAAGGAGAATGACATGACAGAGAAGTACTTGGAGAGGAAGAAAGAGAAACAGAAACAAGCAAAACCAAGACACAGAACTACGACCAACTTCCCCTAAAATGAAGAGTTTGTATCAAATTTAATCACTAAACTCTCTTCTGCTCAACCGCTGATTCTGGTCATTTTGACAAAAGGATCTTGAAGGAATCCAAGACTTTGTCCCAAGTCTGTCTGGACACTTGCTCCCCGGGGGTGTCGCCTTCACACTTCCTCCCGCCCCGCTTCCCAGTTTGTCTGCCTTCTCCTTTGCCTGGGGAGCCTCCTTCCCACCCACCCGAGTCCCGTCCCCTGCGAGTCCCCCGGGGCCTTTCGGTCCCGCCCGTCCATGCGGGCCGCGCTCACCGGGCGCCGGGGTCCGCCGCCTCCGCCGGGCCGTGGCCGCCGCTCCGCGCGAGTCGCCGTTCCGCTCCGCCCGCCCTTTCTGCCCGCGGCCGCCCGGCCCGCACGCGTGCCCGCCACGCCCAGGGGCCCGGGACTGTGTCGCGCCGGTGCCAGCGGAGCGCGAGGGCTGCGGGGGCGCGCGTCCCGCACCCCAGGGGCGCAGTTTGCGCCTCCCGGGTGTCACCCGACCCAGGTGGCTGGGCGGCCCCGCGGGCTGCGAGCACTGGCGCGGGCACCTGGGCGTCCGCAGCGCGTGCTCACGGGATCCCGCTGTCGCCTGTCCGGCTCCCGCTGGGGGCGCCCCCAGGGCGCCTTGACACCCCCTGCCCCGGGCCCTGAGGCCGCAGGTATTTCTGGGCGGTGGGCCTTGCGCCTCCCGCTGCTGTTCGAGAAGCGGTGGGTGCCCTGTCCCAACCCCGCACATTCTCCTGTGAAAAAAGGAGGTGACCGCGTAATAAAAAGAGGTGACCGCGTAATAAAAGCGGATTAGGATCTAATGCACCAGCGTTTCTGGCTTAGTCCTGAGAACAATGGGAAGAGTTTTGAAAGGGAAAAGTATTTCGAAGCAAAGTACTCCTCTTGCAGGAAGAGTCAGAGTTTATTGTCTCATGTCAGGTCCTGTGCTAGGAAGTCAGAAACACCGCCCAAAACAGGTCCTCGGCTTTGTCGCTGATGTGAAGTAACCTCCGTTTGCCGACCAAAGCCATGGCTGATGTCTATTATCTCACTTAGAGAAAACAGATTTCCGAAAGGGCTTTTTAGTTTGTGAAGTGCCTTTAAATCTATAATAATCGTTCTTTTATTGCACAAAGCACTAGAAATGAATTCACTAAACAATCTATGTTGTGGGCACTGGTTTTTAAATTCATATTTTACAGATGAAGAAGCATCATCCCACTTTACAGATCAGAAAAAGAGGTTTAAAGTGCTTAAGGGCCCTAGAGCCACAGCGTGGTTGAGTTGTGATTTGATTTGATTTGATTTGATTTGATTTGAGGTGTCTGAGAGCTGGTACCTTTAGCCATTACTCTATGTTCTCCTTCAAAGGAGGAAGGGAGGGAGGGAGAAGAGAGGGAGGAAGGGAGAAAGTGTCCTAGTTATATCTGTTTGTTTTATAACGTTAACAAGAACATTATATTCCAATGGGACAATATTTATAATTTTTTTTCAAAGTCATATTTTTAATGTATGCAAAATTAACTATGTCAATACCCAAAAGGTCTGGGTCATGAGGCTTAACATCATCAACCAATAAACCGACATTCTAAATGACACGGCAGTACAAAGCGGTTCTTTATGATAATGTGTTAGGGTCACTAAGAAGCAGATGCTAAAATGGGGTTTGATGTGCAGGGGACTTAATGGGGGAGGGAGTTACAGATGGCAGGGAGAGCCTTTGGGTTGTCATGCAAGGCTGATACCTGTGGAAGGAGAGAGGCTACCCCATCTTCCTGGGCCAGCGGTTGGTTCCACACTGCACCATTGATGAGCAGGATTGAATGGAATTCATAGGAATGGGAGGGCACATCACAGAATCCACTATATGCCCTTAAGAAACCCACAGCCTCTACTGTGAATTGTGGGAAAGACATTTATCTTTAAAAACATGGTAAGTGCAGTGATAGACCCTCTGCAAAGATATTAAGAAACACAGAGTGGAGACTAATCTGGGCTGAGAAGTGAGTGAATGAGAGAGAGAGAGAGAGTGTGTGTGTGTGTGTACACACGATGAGACGGGAGATTTTCAGAAATTATTCCCGGGGGAGGTGACAAGGGAGCTAAGTCGAGGCAAGAGCAGGGCCTAGAAGAAGGGAGAGGCAGCAAAAGGCTTAGTACTAACCTCTGTCCTCTAGCACTTTGCAGACAAATGGTGAGGGCTCGGTGACATTTCTTATGTTGTTGTCCAGTATTTAAAAATCATCACCATTTAACTTTTCATGCTTTTGTCTCTTGACCTCAACCTTCCCTGGGAGCTCCTCAAGGCCCAGCATGTCCTGTTTCTTTGTTTTCCCACAGTGCAGAGCACGGCCAAGAGGGCGGGGTTGGAGAAATGTACTCCCTGCACCTCTTTTTTTCTATGTGGGTTCTGCATCATATTTCTCGCCCCCCACTCCAATTCAAGTTTGAAACCCAGTGATATAGGGGAAAGAGTTTGGGGTGTCTTTAGTTCACCCCATTAGTTTGTCAGTTTCTCGAGGACAGTGATGTGTCTGTTCTGTTCCCTGGGACACACACAGTGCCTGCCATGTGGTAGGCACGCAGTAAATCGTTGAATTAGTATGCAATGCAGAATGAATGTTGGTAACGGAGAGCAGCTAGCTCTGAACATAGACTTTAGCACCAATGGGAGGAGGGTGCCTCCTTGTTGACCGGTGTTGATGCAATAGTACAGACCCTTGTGGCCAAGAGGAACCGTGTCGGCACAGAGAGGGGCAAGCTAGGGAGCACAGAGGACGCGGGCTGGCGGAAGAGGCCTGCAGTGTCCCTTAGGGAACGGGAAGGGGAGAATTCTTGGTGTGGATTAAATCTGGACATTGTCGCCTCATTGCTGACTTCGAGACCCTCTTTCTGAATTGTACCTCTGGATTGATGTGCCAGTGGGTTAAACACATTATTTTGTCATCTTCTAATAATTGTAAATCTCTTAGAAAATTTGAGCCTAGTTTGACTACTATAAAGGGAGAATTGTGAAGGTGCCATAGGTTGAAAACAGAAGAGAAATCTAATTAACTTTGCTTGTCAGGGCCTCTCTGACAATATTTAAATAATTACAGAGGCAAAACTTCCTTTTGAAGGAGGTTCACTGTGCATGAGCTATTGCCTAAATGAGCATTAGGCCCTTGGGAAGCACATGAGTGAGTCTATTCTACTTGCGACAATATACTAAGAGTTCCCCAAGGATCTAAAAGAGAAATACCCCTGTCCTCCAAAAGCATCCCTAAACTCAGTAGTAGCTTCTCATGTTACGAATAATATGTAACCACTAGGTGGCAGTCTATCAACAGAAATTGCTTGCTCTTTTAATGAAGCTTTTTCAAACTGCAAGTTTCTGGGAATATCAGTAAAAGTAAAATTATTAGATAATCTTTTCCTGATCCCATTTCCCCAAAGTCTGTGCAAGTGACATAGTCAATTTTAACATTCTTCTTTAATCCGTCTCTTTATATTAAAATAATGAAAAAAATGATGTTTTGAAACACAGAAATTAGACAAGGACAATTAAGGCCCCCATACTGTGTGTGTGTGTCGGGGGGGGGGGGGGTTTGAAGATAAATATGGCATAAAAAGAGTACACTCAGTGGTCTTAATTTTTTGATATGTAGAGGATACTTAAAAATCTGGTTCAAGTTAATTTAGTATTTTCTCCCTCATGAATATAACTCTGCTTCTTTTTAGTATTTGAGGTAAAAAAGGGGGGGGGGCAATTGGAGGAAATATATTTTATCTCTTTTATGAAGAACTTTTATTTTATGTTTCTTTTGAGTGAAGGGAAAATCCCTGGAAAGAATTCGATGAGATAAGTGCAATTTGAAATTTAATTTGCTTCCACCCAAGGCGGGTTAGGTTCTGGGGGACAGCTGAATTTGGCTGCTAGCAGCCTGGGCTCCGGAAGGCGCAGGCCCCTCCTGTCAACTGGGGAAGGGAGCAGGCGCCCAGATCTCTGGAGGGAAGAATTCTCACCTGGGGAGAACTTGTTGCTGTTTCTCTGTTCCTTCTGCCCAAACCACCAGGGCCTGGTTATCCTGGAGCAGCTCACACAGGTTGCAGCTTTCAGCATCATTTCCACTGTCCCGTTGACCAAGTTCTTCTGGGCCCCTGGAAAGCTCCCATAAATTATTCCAACATTTTACTGCGCCCCATTGCTCAGGTTAGGTGTTTTCACAGTACCCAAATTATTAGCTCCGAAGGAAAAATGTGCAATCTATACTTGGCCTTGCATTCAAAGGTGGACTAAGTAGGTTAAAAGAAACAGCTAAGTACATAATAGTAGTTATTCCATTTTTCAATTAGTATTCACAGAAAAGAAGGAGGCCTGTGTAGGGGTATACCTGGATACGCATCGATAGTTTCTGGAAGGAAAATAGTGATGCTGAGAATACTGAACAGCTAGCTGAGCCTTGGCTAACAGGGATGCTGGCCTTGGAGCCGGAGAGATGCTGGAAGTCCTCTAACGGCTTAGCTTTAACCCTTTAATGATGGATTGAAACTTTCAGGGGGAGGGGCAGCACTCCAGGGGCTTAAAGCAATGGCTGTTTACCAACCTAGTGGGAGATATTTATTTTTTTTAAAACCAGTTTTATTGTATTTGTGTGTATGTTGTTTTTTAAAAATTTTTTCCCCTTTATTGATTTTAGAGAGAGAGGAAGGGAGAGGGAGAGATGGAAACATCGATGAGAGAGAACATCATTTGGCTGCCTCCTGCATGCCCCCCACTGGGGATCGGGGCCACAACCTGGGCCTGTGCCCTGATCAGGAATCGAACTGGCGACCTCTTGGTACATGGGTCGATTCTCAACCACTGAGCCACACCAGCCGGGCTAGTGGGAGATATTTAAATATTTTGACAACTTCTACATTTATACTACTAAGCCAGCGGCTATCAATCATTTCTTCTGGGAAAGGGGACTGCGAGCAAGAGAGACTTATTTTTCAGTGTGGTACTGTTGGAAATGTTTTTTCTGTTTGCTTGTTTGAATTCTATGTGACCATGTGCTGGTAGACAGCATTTCATTCTGTTCAGCGCAGGAAGTCAGTCTGATTTTTAGAACTTGGTTCTGGACATTGCTCTCGTCATTTGACTCCAGCCTGTCGAAGCCTCAGGGCCACGTTCTTTAGTTCGTCTCACTGGGAACCTCTCCACCAGAGCTTTGCTGAAGCTCCGCCACTGATGGGGAAGCAGCCCGGCTGAGCCCCCTCTCCCCGTCACTCTGTCTTCACCCCAATCCCGATGTTGGTCTCTGAACTCCCCTTGTTACCTCGGACCTCTGGTCTGTC